TGCGGGCTGGCGGGCGAGCTGCCAGCGAGGCTGCCGGTGTGTTTAGGGGGCCCTGGGTGACTGCTGGGGAGAGGAACCCGGCTCGAGGTCTCAGGGTGTCTGCGGGCCCTGGGTGATTGGGGCGCGCAGGGAATAGGTTCTTTGGGCCTGGGTGATGTGGAGATGTTAACGGACTCAGGGCGCGTCTCGGGGTGTCCATGCGGGGAGGTCCTGGGTGAAGTGGGGGGTCGGGGCAGGGATCTCAGCGGATGGTCGCTCGGGGGCGCTAGTCTGAGGCGGGGGCGCGGCCGGGATCTGTGGCAGTTGTGCGGGGCGCCTGGGTGACGTGTGCGAGCTGCACGCGCGCAGTCGGACTCATGTGTCTGGGGCTGGATTTTTTTTCCTGTGGGGGGGCCGGCCGGGGTTCAGGGGTTTGGGTGGCTGGGATCGAGCTGTGGGCGGGGCGGGAGGGATTGGTTTGTTGGGTCGTAGGGTCATGTCGGGGGTTGGGCCGGTTCAGGGTGTACTGGGCGAATCTTGGTCAGTGCCAGGGAGGCACGTGTGGGGGAATTGCTGGGTTGGCGGGGGGCACTGGGTCTGTGATTGCCGGGCGCAGGCCCTGGGTCTCACGGGTGTCGGGCGGGGGTGGTGAGTGTGGGGATACGCGGCAGGTTATCTCAGGGCTGTCTGGGGGGCTCTGGTGAGTGTGGGGCGCGGAGGCCGGGGTCTCAGGGTCTGGGGGGCCCTGGGCTGAGCTGTGGGGGCGCGGGCAGGGAGCCTTCAGCGGGTGTCGGGGGGAGGCCCCCTGTAGGTAATGTGGGGTGCATGGCCAGGGTCTCAGGGTGTTTGGGGAACTCTGTGTAAGTGCAGGGAGGCACGTGTGAGGAATTGCTGGGTGTCTGGGGGGGGCCCTGGGTCTGTGTGGGGGGCGCAGGCCCAGGTCTCAGGGTGTCTGGGGGGCTCTGGGTGAGTGCAGGGGCCGTGGACCAGGGTCTCAGGGTGTCTGCGGGGCTCTGGGTGAGTACGGGGGCCGCGGACTGGGGTCTGGGGGGTGTCTGCGGGCTCTGGGTGAGTGTGGGGAGCGCGGGCAGGGATCTCAGGGTGTCTGGGGGGCCCTGGGTGAGTGCAGGGGCTGCAGGCGGGGGCCTCAGGGTGTCTTCAGGGCTCTGGGGGAATGTAGGGGGGCCGCGGGCCGGGATCTGGGGGGTGTCTGCGGGCCCTGGGTGAGTGTGCAGGGCGCAGGTCAGGGTCTCGGAGTGTCTGGGGGGCCCTGGGTGAGTGCAGGGGACGCCGGCCGGGGGCTGCGGGTTGTCTGGGGTCCCCGGGTGGGTGCGGGAGAGCGGGCCGGCGTCTGTGGGGCCCTGGGTGAGTGCTGGGGCGAGTTGGCGCCTTGGGCTCCATGCAGGCGGGCACCCTGGACACACGGTGGCAGAACCGCTGCGCGCTGCAGGCTTCCTTCCGCTAACTTCCCGCCCCAGGCAGCTAGTGGGGGCTGTGAGCGCCTCACCTCCCCACCCTCGCCCTCCTGCATAGCCCTGGGGCGCCAGATCCCTCCCCCTGGACTGGAGGAACTGGAGGAACGCGTGGACTCATGTTTGCTTGTTCGCGCTCAAGCTTGCTGCTTGGGCGGAGCCACCTTCAAGCACGTGTTGCTTCTGGACAGCCAGGGGGCAGGAGAGCCCTGGCCCAGCCACGCGTGGGGCGGGTCCCTGGCGCGCTGCCAGTGCCACTGTCGCCTGCCCAGGAGCTGTGTAGGTGCAGGTGTAGGTGCAACTTCCCCTTGGAGCGGCTCTTGGCACTGTTCCAGCAGAGCGAGCAGGCGGTGATGTCAGCGTCTGGACAGGGCCTGCCAGCCTTGGCCGGGGTGGGTCCCTCCAGCTGCGCCACGCTGGAGAACCGTCTCCCAGGGGCCGTTCAGTTCACATCGTCCCGGGGCATCTGGCCTTCCTGGTCTCGGGACACGGGTTGAAGTCTAAGCCAGCCCTGAACTACAGGATGCTTCCAAAGTGAAGGTGGGGTGAGGTCCCTGGAGCTGCGTGCTGGGTGGCCATCTAAAGGGGTGGTCTCCCCACAAGGAGACTTCAGGGTCCCCCCAAGATGGAACCAGCAGAACTGAGGCCCCTCTGGCCCAGTGGGGCTGCCGGCCCTCTCCAGGCCTGGGAGCCCGCGCCTCTGACCCGCCGCCTTTGCTCGGGGCGCTGTGTCTGCACGGCGACTTGCCTTCTTTCAGAGGGGACTCTGGTGGGTTTTTGTGACTCCAGATACAACAGTTATGTGTGCTGGGCAAAGATAGGGAGCGGAGTGTTTCTTGAGTTTTAAACTTGTGGTCTGGGCCTGCAGCAGTGACAGCCATAGGGTTTGCTTACACTGTTAGGAGCACCGGGCTTGTTCGTCTGAACCCAGGAGGCCAGTGATGTTTTTCTCTTTTCTTTTGTTTTTACTAGCAGGTGTTCTGAACCTCCCCACTTAGCCTTTGAGTAGCTGGTTTAAAACACAAAATGATGCGTGGCGCTTGCTCTGTGTTGGTCTGGCAATCTCCAGCCTCCCTGGGTGCCGAGGGGACAGAGCGGGGCAGCGAGCTGGTGCCCCGCGCGCTCCCTCCCTCCCTCCCTCCCTCTGCAGGTGCGGGAGGGTGGCCAGAGGGGGCAGTGGGGCCCCGACTCAGCGGGAGGGGGGGGCTGCTGGAACCTTCTCCTGCAGGCAGCTGTCCTCGGTCCTCCCCCCACCCCTCCTGGCCGGCCGGTCCTCCCCCCACCCCTCCTGGCTGGCCGGGGACTTCCTTCAGCTGCCTGGCAGAGGCCTGAGGTTGCACAGGGCCTGGCCGGGGGCTTCCAGGCTCCGTTTCCTGCGGCACAGGACCGAGGTCCCCCATCTCCTCCTGGAGCGTGAGCTCGGCTGGGCTGTAAGTCTGCCATGGCAACCAGAGGACTTTGAGTCTCAGCGGAGCTGACCACTGGTCACGGGACTACACTCACCTCATGTGAGTCGAATAAACTGGCGGGGAAGGCAGACTCGGGGCCGGAGCTGTCTTTGATCCTGAGCCCCTCGCAGGTGGTGGCCATGGGGCCCGCCCCAGCCTGTCCTCCTGCAGACTGCAGAGTAAACAGGGCTGGAGGCCTCCTGTCCTGCCTTGGGGTTGCAGATTGCTGTCGTAGTCAACATTTTTTCCATTAGTGGCCAACATGAAAATCGGATTTCAAGTTAAGACCCTGGATGTTTTGGCCCCTGTTCCCGTGTGACAGCCAGTGCTCCTGGGACGAGCCGAGTTCCTCCCCAGGGCCTGTCACCTGCCCCGGTGCACGTCTGCGCTGCGCCGTTATGTGGCTTGCAGGCTCTGGAACTGGCAGCCCCAGATCTGTTTGCAAAGTTTGTGCAGCTGCGGATCCAACAGTGCCGTGAGTGTGGGAAACGCATGGAAGAGGCGCACATTCCCAAGTGGAGGCGGCCTCCTGTCCCCGGGGGGTCCGGTTAGTTCAGATAAATGACCCCCCCCCGCACGGTGGCCTGGCTGTGGCCCCCTCGGGACAGCACTGCCATGTGGTACCCCCAGAGGTGTCCTGTGCCCGTGTCTCCCTGGGCGCCCCTGCAGGTGCGCCTCCCACCAGGAAGGGCTCCCAGAGGGTGGTCCGGGCCTGCGCCCCCACCCGAGGGGCTGGGGAAGGGCCTTTCGTGGACGGGAGGGACAGGTTGTTAGAATGACACTCAGGAAGAATGTGGCCGTCTCAGGGGAGGCCTGGCACCGTCCCTGCTTGCTTCTCCTTATCGTGTCACTGCTGTTGCCACCTCCTCCCGGCCGCCCCGTGGGACGTGGGAGTAAAGTTCCTCTCAGGACAGGCAGCCGCCTTTGTCCAGAGTGAGCAGCTCTTGGCTCGTGTCCTAGGAGAGTGTGTCCCTTGTCCCCTTTCCTGAGCAGGGAAGGAGCTTGAGTCCCTCTTTGCAGGGACCTGGCGGTCACTTGGGCCTGTGACTGCGGCCCTGGGTGAGAGGGCCTGGGTGTGCTCGACGTCCCTGTGGCGTCTCTGCCCAGCAGGCGTGCATGGAGGCACCCAGGGAGGGCGCAGCCCAGCAGGGGGCCTTGGGGGCGAGTCCCGTCCTGTGTGTTCTGCGTAGTGTCCTGGAGCCCAGGCCGAGCTCTGGAGACACGCCTGGGCCCTTAGCCCCTTCCAGATCGTGTGGTCTGAGAACAGGAGGGCTCTCTCTGGCCTCCTGAGCCTCCACCTGGGTTTCAGACGCAGCACAGCTTCCCCGAGTGGCAGAGGTGGCAGCCTGTAAGGTTGGGGAGCTCGGTGGGGGACCAACTCAGGGAGCATGGGCCGGGCTGGGTGGGGGTGGGGCTTGCGGGTGGCTCCGTCCCGGGAGGCAGCTTTGGGGACCTGGACCCTGAACCCTAGCTCCTCTGCTCCCCAGGCCAGCGCTGGGCATGCTGTGGGGCTCCCAGCGTCTGGACCGGGTCCTTGCTGATTTCTTCCGGGGAGCAAGGCTCCTCCTCTGTGTGTCGTGTGTCGTAATCCTGGCGGACAAGCTGGGCTGGCGCCCTCCGGGCTGGGTTGTGCCTCGGGCCATCTGTGCCCGTGGGCCGGGGCCGGTCAGACTGGCTGTTCACGGGAGCTTCCTCCCCTCAACGCTGGGAATGCTGGCAGCAGCCTTTCCAGGTGTGGTGGGTCACCTGGTCCGGCTCACCTGGCGGTCGGTCGGTCAGTCGTGTTAAAGGGCAGAGTCCTGGCCTGCGCCCCGGTCTGCGGGCGACTCGGTGGGGCAGGTTCTGGGTGGGCTGTCCCTGCAGTGCGGAGGCTCCACCCCCGTGTTTGTGCAGCCCCAGGAGCGACTGAGGATGCAGGCGTGAGTGGGCCTCATGCTGGCCTCCGTCTGGGGCTTCCTAGAGACACCAGGGAGGGAGCTCCTGCTGCCTCTGCAGACGGCGCCTTCCAGAACAGGGGGCTGAGTACCCCTGGGCCCGTGGGGTGCCGTGGACTCTGGCAGAGTTCTTGACCTTGACAGCTCAGCCCCGGCTGGGGTGATTTAGCTGGGGCGAGGGTGCAGCTGCCGTGGGCGTCCGGGGAGAGGGCACCGTCTGGCTGGCCGATGGGGCGCCGGTGAATGCGAGGTGAGCCCCGGGGCTGAGCAGGGTCTCCCCGGGGGTGCACTGCGAGGCGTCAGCTCTGCCCAGCTGCTGCCCAGGCTCCCAGGGAGCTGCGGGAGGCCCCGGTCTGTCTCGGCTGAAGCAGTACGCGGCCCGTGCGTGCCTCCCGGGCCCATCTGCTGACTTTCATTCCAGCCCCCGAGGACTCCAGGGTCACTGCTGCCCTCGGTGGAGGGCACTGTCCCATCGGTCTGCCCTGGCGCCTCCTCCCCTTGGAACTCTCTAATGCTGGCATCCTGCCCTCCCTCCCCTCCAGCCCCACAAGCCCACCGGCAGCCGCTGCTCTGGGGCGTCACAGCTGGGACCCGGCTGCTTTCCCTTGTCCCAGGCCTGAGCGTGCAGGGGTTGGACACGGGTGCTGGGACGGTGCTGACGGGTCCCCCAGGCCACCTCTCTCTTACGCCGTGTCAGGTGGGCGGGTTTTGGGGGTACTTCCAGCCTACACAGTATCTGAGCCCAGGGGGCTAAGTGCTGAAAATCTGGGGTGACTGTCCCTGGGGAGTTCCTGGACCCCCCAAAGCTGGTCCCAGGTCTAGGGAGTTCTCTGTGCCCCTGCTTGAGGGTTGGAGGGGCTTCTCCCTCTGCTGACCCCTCGCCAAGGCCGTGCGGCGAGTCTCCCGGGTGCGCTCTGGGCGCTGGCCCCGCGTCTGACCCGGCCCTTGCGTGTGGACCCCCGCCGGGCCAGCCCGGGACCGGAGGTCGGCCCACAAGGGCAGCGGGACAGGCCAGCTTGGCGTGGGCGTCTTCTCCTCCCGCCCCGCCGCTCCGGGGCAGCTCGCTGCCCGGCCGACTTGGACAGGAGCACCTTGGCGGAAAAGCAGCGCTGCCCGCAGTGAGGCGGGTGCAAAGACAGGCCGCAGGTGACCTTGTGCTCGGATGGGCGGACGTGGTCCCCGTGCCCGCTGGAGAGGGCAGCTGGCGGGTGATGAGCAACAGCCTTTCTCCTGGCGGAGTCAGGACAGGGAAGGGGACCTCTCGGCCGCCCGGCTGCTGCTGTGTCGTGCAGAGTCCCCAGGGACCTGCTCGACAGCCCCAGGGTCGGGCTCGGGTGGCCTCCTGGAGACAGCCCGTCATGGGGGCCCGTGGGGACGCGTCTCACCCGCCTCGTGGCCCCTGTCACCACTCCTTCTCTTCGGGGGAACCCGCCTCTCGGGGCTGCGGGCCCCTGGGCTCCAGCTGGGCCTCCGCCCTGTCCCCTCGTCCTCTGCACACCCGCCTTGCCCTCAGCTGCCCTGCGCCCCTCGAGGAGACCCGCCCCTACCCTCCAGTGGGGGTGTGTCCCCCACCCCACCCCCCGCCATGTGCAGGGCCTGACCCCAGGGGCCCACGGGACCTCGCCAGGTCTCTGCCCCATAGCTTGTGCCGCCTGCCGCTCACGCGGGGGCCACCGGGCCCTGGGGGGGCTGTGGCCCAGCAGCCGAGGAATGAGTCGGGTGTGTACCCCAAACCCTGAGTTTTAGATCTCGTTAATAAAGTAAGTTAAGTAGTTAGTTAATTTGGCTTTAATTAACACTTAAATAGCTCCATGCGGCTGGAGGCTTCTGTCAGCCTTGGAGGTGGTGACTCGTGGACGGCCTGGTCTGGGTGGCTTCCGGGCTGACGCGGGCGGGCTCCAGGTGGCACCCGGGGTGGCGGTCCAGGTGGAGGCCGGGATCTGGGCCTGTTGCCGCCAGCACGCTGCTGTCGGCCTCTGCCCGAGTGAGGAGGAGGAGCAGGGCCTTCCACCAAGCTCCGTTCTGGGGGAAGGGGGGTGCCCGCAGGCTGGCTGCCCACAGGCCGCCCTGACTCCTGGCTCTTCCTTCCAGCTGCGTGTCCGCTGCGTCCTCTCCAGGGCTGTGTGTGGGCCCGGGCGGCAGGATGCCCGCCAGCCCCGCGGCGGAGAAGCAGGCGCCCGCGGAGGCCGGGCTGGACCTCGAGCAGAAGCCGTGGCGGTGCCTGGTGTTCTACCTCTGCTTCTATGGCTTCATGGCGCAGATGCGGCCCGGGGAGAGCTTCATCACGCCCTACCTGCTGGGGCCCAGCAAGAACTTCACGCAGGAGCAGGTGCCAGGGCGCCGGGGGCAGGGCTGCGCAGGCGGGCGGGGCTCCTCTCTCTGATGAGTGAGCAGCCACGTTAAGTGGCTGCATGAGCTTGCCGCGTTCCCGGGGAGCCGGCTGGAGACCCGCAGGTCCCCGAGGGGAGAGCGAGGACCGGGCGGGCTGCCTCACACACCCAGCCCGCCCGCCGCGGGGCGCTGGCCTCCAGCAGGGACTCGGCTATTTGCCTAAAGAGATTACGGAGGGACATTTCCTTTCGCTCAGCCGCAAGGACAAAGGGTCGTATTGAAACCTTACCCATGAGGTTCTGCCCAGTCACGGTCCCTAAGGCCACACGGAGAGTGGAAGCAAGCGACAGGCCGAGTCGGAGGCGGTTTCCTTCTCTAACGTGTAGCGTGTCCTTCCACACGAGGCACCGCCAGGCAGAGGGAGCGTGGAGGGCGTTTGCTGGCGAAGCACCTTCACCGGCCGGCGTCCCAGCTCTGGTCACCCCCACCCCGCCCGGCCCCACTTGTCCTCAGGGCCCCGGCGCTGGCCGCCCCGTGAGCTGTGCTGGGCCTGCTGGGCCTCTGCCCCCCGTCGGTGTGGCCGGCCTGGCCCGGTTTGCCCGGCGGAGCCCCGGCCCCTCCTGGCCTGGAGCTTGGCCTCTGCCCCGCCAGGCCCTGGGGCTGCGGGGTTGCCGTGGAGACGGGGAGTGTCCTCTTGGAAGGGGGACGTGCCCCCGTGTGACTGGCCCACACAGAGTTCAGAGCAGCGGGAGTGTCTGAGCCCATGGCCGGTGCTGACCGCCAGGCTGGGTCTCTTTCCAGGCAGGGCCGGGGGTTGCCCGGGCTCCCCGTCGGTGGCAGGGCCGGGGCTGGAGCCGGCGGGGTTGTCTCTGTCCCCTCACGTCCCTGCCTTCCTCCCCAGCCAGTCGGTCCCTCGCTCACAGGGCCGTCCTCCGGTGAGGTTATTTATAGAACAAGCACATGTGAGAAGCTTCCAGTAACATAAGAAAGTAAGGAAGTGTCTAAAGCAAGAGTGCTGTAAATCCCACCTGCCTGCCCTCTCACTTGGCACACTCACTGATTAAAGAGTAGACTCCAGAAAGGAAGCCATCACACCAGGCCCTGGACATCCCCAGAGGCTCGGTATACAGGTGGCTCTGCCCGCTGGCCACGCGCTGGGCCCCCCTGGCTGCAGGAGAGGCCTGGCCAGGCGCCGGGGCGGCCCCTGCCCCGCAGGCCCGTGTCTGGAAAGTGCACACACACACGGAGGCCTGGGACACGTCTGCAAGCCGCCGTCTGATCCGAGTCACACCTATGGGGTTGGACCTCTCGGCGCTCATCTGGGGGGCCCTGAGGGTTAGGGTTAGGGCGTGCAGGGATGTGCAGGCACGCTTGGGCTGCGGTGGCCCTGGCAGCTGACCTAGGCTGACCTTCTGGGTGACTCCTGCCTCCCCACGGGGCACGACAGGCCGGTGTGGACTGTGGGGGCGTGAGGGGCCCGTTTCCTTTCCTGCATCTGTGTTTGCCGTTTCTCCCGCTCTGTGGCCTCCGCTGCCCCGTAGGCACCCCTGCACCTCTGGGCCTGGGCTGGCTGTTCTTTTCCTGGGGCATTTTGAGCTCGGCCAAATCACCCTTCTCGGTCTGTGCGGTGAGCGTGGCTGAGTGGCCGCTCCCCACCCCGGAGCTCCAGGACCGACCTGCTCCCGCAAGGGGCTGAGGTTTGCCCGGTGCATCCGGCCTGTGGCCATGCAGAACCGGGCCTTGCGCTGTGAGGCGCAGCCCCGCCCGGCCCCCGAGAGCTGGCACACGGCCGTCCCGACCTGGTCCCTGGCCAGGGGTTTGGTGTGGGCCAGGCAGTCCCCATTGGGTGCCCTCCTCTGTGACCTTCAGGCCCCTCTGCCGGCCCGTGCCCAGCCCCGCCCTGGGGTCTCACCTGCCTGCCCCGCCCCGTTGGAGAAGCTGGGTTTGGGCACAGCGCCCTGCAGGGACGCTGGGCTCCGGCAGGAGGTGGCTGTCCTTATGTTCGAGCTGTGGCCGCCCGACAGATGTCCCCCGCCCACTGGGCCTTTGTGGGTGCCTCCCTCAGTTGCCTTCCAAGTGGGACATGGGTCACAGCCTGGGCAGAGCCTGAGTCCACCGGCCAAGTCTGAGGAAAGAGGGGTGGGCTGGGCGGTGGGGGCCGAGCCATGGCTCCTGGGGTCACTGAGGCCGCGGCTGTAGACCCTGGCCGGCTCTGAGGGGTGAACCCCGTGGAGTCCATGCAGTCCGGCAAGGGGGCTCCTGAGGACTCGGCCCGCTGCTCCAGGGGGGTGTGGGCTCTACAGAGACCCCCACTTTGTCTTCCCTGTGCTGACTCTGGGCTGGGCGCGGGACCTGTGCCCTGGCCTCGGGGGTGGGGTGCCACGCCACAGCAGTGCCTGCACGGGGGGGGGGGGGACCCCGAGGTCCTGGGAGAGTTCGTGCTTCTGAGCTGCTGCTCCCTGAATCCAAGAGGTCCGCGGCCGACGGTCCCAGCGGGAGTCCCCGGGCCGGCTGTGGCAGGGAGCCTGTGCGACCAATCAGGCAGTCGCTGGGAGATCACCCCAACAAGCGCAGTCTGGGGTTCCCCAGGTTTTACCGTGAACATGTGCAGACCCTGCCGCCGGGCCCCAAGCTCTCTGTGACCCAGCACGGACTGTCCCAAAGGTCCTGAGTGGGAGGACGTGTTGGGTGGCCTGGCACTGGGTGCAGCTGGGCCACGGGGCCCTGGGGGTCATCTCGGCTCCTGGGAGGACGCAGGCTCACAGCTGTCGGGGAGCTCGGCTGTCCCAGGCGGGGCCTCCGGGCAGCCGCTCTCCGAGCCTGTGGAGGCTTCTCAGCTTGTTGGTCCCCTGAGCCTCAGCCCGACTCGGGGGCCTGCTCACCAGACGGCCTCCATGGCTGGTGGCCACCTCAGGCCACACGGCAGACACGAGGGGCCAGGGATGTGCCGACCAGGGGTCCTGGCCCTCTGGGGCAGTGCTCAGGGAGAGCGCCGTGCTTGCTGGTGGTCAGGCCGAGTCGGGCTTAGTGACCTGAGCAGGCGGGAACTGGGGGACCCCTTGGCCGCAGAGAGCCCAGCGAGGCCCAGCTGGCTCCCCTGGTGCTGACGCAGGCTGGCTCCCATGTCTGTCCCCCAGAGACCTGGGCCTGTCACAGGTGGGCCCGCCCTTGGAGTGTGCCCAGCTGGACCCAAGGCAGCCCCTGCCCAGGTCCCCGGCATGTCCTGGCCCCGCCCAGCCAGCCAGCCAGCCAGCTGGGCACAGCACGGGGTGCTGTCCCCAAGCGAGGCTGGGGCTGTCTCTGGGGCTGCTCGTCCTGCTCCCCATGGTGGAGACCTTGCTGTGGGACGAGCTCTGGGACGAGTGTGGCAGGCAGTGCCGCCTCCCTTCCTTCCCTGCCCTCCTCTCCTCTGTCCTCTGCTCGGTCCTCTCCTGTTAGTTCCTCCCCCTCCCATCCTGTCCTGCGAGCTCCGTCTTCCCCATCTGCCCCTGTCTGTGCCTTTGGTTTGACGTCCCCTGCAGGACCGTGGGTGGCTCGTGCAGGGGTGGAGGTGTGTGTATCTGTGACAGCTGTTTTCCAAGTTGTTAGATTTAACATGAAATCAAACTGCATTTTATTCCATTGAAAGTAGATGAGCCTTGATTGACACGATTACTGTGTGGTTAATAATGGTCGTTCCTGAGGTGGCTGCAGCTTTCTGTGGGCACACGCTTGCCCGCCTGGCCGAGCCTGGGTTTCCCAGGCTGCCCGATGGTCCTGAGCGGCTGGCCATGTTCAGAGAGGATGGTGCAGCAGGACCAGGGGTCCCAGGGGGCGGTCGCTGCGGGGTTGGGGCAGGGCCGGGCCCTCAGTGACACGGATGTCGCTAAGGCCTGGCGCCCGCCGCCCACAGGTCACCAACGAGATCATGCCGGTGCTGTCCTACTCGTACATGCTGGTGCTGGTGCCCATCTTCCTGCTCACCGACTACCTGCGCTACAAGCCCGTGCTGCTGCTGCAGGGCCTGAGCTACATTTCCGTGTGGCTGCTGCTGCTGCTGGGCCGCTCGGTGCTGCACATGCAGCTCATGGAGTTCTTCTACAGCGTCACCATGGCAGCGCGCATCGCCTACTCCTCCTACATCTTCTCCCTCGTGCGCCCCGCGCGCTACCAGCGCATGGCCGGCTACTCGCGCGCCGCGGTGCTGCTGGGCGTGTTCACCAGCTCCGTGCTGGGCCAGCTGCTGGTCACCGCGGGCGGGGTCTCCTTCACCACGCTCAACTACGTGTCGCTGGCCTTCCTCACCTTCAGCCTGCTGCTCGCGCTCTTCCTGAAGCGCCCCAAGCGGAGCCTCTTCTTCAACCGAGGCAAGCCCCTGCGTGGGGCGTCGCCCTCGGAACTGGGCCCCATGCGCCCCGGCCCCGCGCCGCCGCGCGGCAAGCTCCAGGCCGCCTGCAAGGACTTTGTCCTGGCGCGCATGCTGCGGGAGCTGGGGGCCAGCCTGCGCCTGCCGCAGCTGCGCCTCTGGTCGCTCTGGTGGGTCTTCAACTCGGCCGGCTACTACCTGATTGTCTACTACGTGCACATCCTGTGGAACGTGGTGCGCCCGGCCACAGACAGCGCGCGTGTCTACAACGGCGCGGCGGATGCCGCCTCCACGCTGCTCGGTATGCGGCCTGCCGGGCCGTCCCCCCCCCAGCCCGCCCCCTGGCGCCGCCCCCGAGCTGGACCCGCCAGTGCTGCACCTCAGCCCAACCCCAAGCGCCTCCCCACTAGGCCGCCCCGGGCGCCGCCCCCCAACCCAATCCCAAGCGCCCCCCAGCCGCCCCCAACCGCCCGCCACCTTGGCCCACCAGTGCTGCCCCAGCACAACCCCAAGCGGCCTCCACCTAGCCGCCCCCCCGGCACCGCCCCAGGCCCAACGCCAAGCGCCTCCACCTAGCGGCCCCCCCCCCCCGCATCGCCCCAGCCCAACGCCAAGCGCCTCCCACCTAGCCCGCCCCCCCGGGCGCCGCCCCCCCCAACCAACCAAGCGCCTCCCCCCAGCCCGCCCTGGGAAACCGCCCAGCCACCTTGGCCCACCAGTGCTGCACCCCAGCACAACCCCAAGCGCCTCCCACCTAGCCTGCCCCCACCAGCCCAACCCCAAGCGCCTCCCCCAGCCCGCCCCCGGGAACCACCCAGACACCTGGACCCGCCGGTGCTGCACCCCAGCACAACCCCAAGCGCCTCCCACCTAGCCCGCCCCCCTGAGGCGCCGCCACCTCCAGCTGGACCTCAAGCGCCTCCTACCTAGTTCTACCCCGCTCGACCCAGGGCGTGGCAACTTACCCCTCCACACCCTTCACCCCCTCCCTCCAGCCCGCTGTTCCCCCACACCTCGCTGCAGGCCCCTGACGGCCGGGACGCCCCTTCCCAGGTGCCATGACGTCCTTCGCCGCCGGCTTCCTGAAGATCCGCTGGGCGCTGTGGTCCAAGCTGGTCATCGCGGGCATCACGGCGATGCAGGCCGGGCTGGTCTTCCTGCTGTTAAGTTCGCCCAGCATCTGGCCCTGCTACGCGGCCTTCGTGCTCTTCCGCGGCTTCTACCAGTTCCTCGTGCCCATCGCCACGTGAGTTCCTCGGGCTTCTGCGGCGGGCTTTTGGGGGGCTGCGTGCTCGCCGCCCTGGGCCCCTGCCAGTGTCAGCCTCCCCGGGTGTCCCGCGTCCTCCCTGCACGGGCCCGCCTGGAGCCGGCCGCGTCCCCCGTGCTCTCCTGGGGCCCGCGGCCCTGCAGCCCCTGCTGCTGTCCCGACCTGTCTCCTCTGACACCCGCTGGGGCTCGGCCTGCCTGCTCCAAACCCACGGCGCACACCCGCCCTCCTGAGCCCGCGCCTGGGGGGGGGAGACCTGTGTGGGGGTGCCGCCCTCATGCCACACGCTGACACACGGGGATACATCACGCTGACACCCCCACTCACCCACGCAGACACAGCACACGCTCACACACACAGTGACACACCCACACGGTGACACACCACACTGACATGCTCATGCCATACGCTCAGAGCACGCGTGCACTGGCACACAGGCCCCCCACTGTCTCCCCTCCCAGGAGGACTTCGGCCCAACTGCCCTCCCTGGCCTCCCTTTCTAGGGGTGGCTCCTGGCCTGGCCCCTCCCCACTGGTCCCCCCGCCCTGGGGCCACACTCTGGCCACACACCCAGCAGAGCATCCGTCCCCTGCCGCCACCTCCTGAACGGGGACAGTGCCCTCCAACGTCTGTCCCCCCCAGTCGCCCTTCTGTGGCTCGGTGGCCCGACCTTGCCCACACGTGGCTGGCCCCACGCTCCCCCGTCCTCTGCACACCCGCCTGCAAGAAGCCTGGTGCACACCCAGCGTCCTTTCCCTGCTGCCCCAGCCCCGAGCGCTGCCTGGCCTCCCTGCGGCCCCCGACCTTCAGCACCCTCTGGAGGGGCTGGGCCTCCTGCTGGTTCCGCCATCTCCTCTGGGCTACGATGGAGTCCGCTAATTGCAAAAGCCATCGTTGCCCGTCGCCAAGGCGCGAACCCGCGAGGGGAAGCGGAAGGCGGACCGACGCTCCCTTGTGGTCCAGCCCAGCGAGGTGGGACGGGATTCGGCCCTGCTGACCCGTCCACCATGCTGAGACCTTTTCTCCCACATCCCGGCCTCGGCCCCCCGCCGGGTCCCGTGGGGAGGGGCCCTATGAGCGCAGGCCTTGGACGGGCCTCGGGACACGCGTGGGCGCCACCCTGCGCCGCCGGCCGGCTCCGAGGGGGAGCGGGGCGCACGCTCCTGCTGTGGACTCAGTGGCCACTTTGTGTCTCTGACTCTCCCTGGGACGTTCTTCCGTGTGTCTGGAACGTGGCCCCATCTGCAGCGCCCGCCCGCGGCCCTGCTCTGCATGAGCGCCCGCCGCGTGCCACGGCTCGCCTCTCGCTCCACCATGCTGCTCTCGGAGCGCCCCGAGCTGTGCCCCGCGGTCTTCCCCGGGCCACGGCCCTCTCCTGTGTGTCCCGTCGGGGGCTGAGCTTGCTCTGCCGGCTGCACCCGCCCTGGCCCGGGGCCTCTGGCCGATCCTCCACCGGCACCCGCAGGATTCTCGCACATTTTCGTTTTTCTTCAGATGAACTTTAGCACATTTTTTTGGTCCAGCTCTGTTTTTTTAAAAAAGCACTTTGGGATTTTAATGGCCCTGTGTCCAAGTGCGGACTTCTCGGTGGAGGGTCGGGGCTGCGGCCCTGCTCCTTCCCGGGAGGTGCCCACCAGTCCCCCCCCAGCTGTGCTGGCCCTCGCGCTGTCCCTCATTTGTTGAATGTTTGACTGTGAAAGGTTTTTTTTTTTTGAGACAGAGTCTCACCCTGTTGCCCAGGCTAGAGTGCCGTGGCGTCAGCCTAGCTCACAGCAACCTCAAACTTCTGAGTTCAAGCGATCCTCCTGCCTCAGCCTCCCGAGTAGCTGGGACTACAGGAATGCACCACCATGCCCGGCTAATTTTTTGTATATATATTTTTAGTTGGCCAATTAATTTCTTTCTATTTTTAGTAGAAACGGGGTCTCGCTGTTGCTCAGGCTGATTTCGAACTCCTGACCTCGAGCGATCCTCCCGCCTTGGCCTCCCAGAGTGCTAGGATTACAGGCGTGAGCCGCCGCGCCCGGCCTGTGAAAGGTTTTTGTTCCGGACTTTTCTGTCTGTGCCGGCGGGTTCTGGTGGCGATGTTCGGAGCCTTTTGGTGCAACTGGGACCCGGCCTGTCCCAGAGCCGCCTGGAGACCCGCCGCGCCTCTCCCCGGCCTGTGTTACAGCTGCCGCGTCCCCCGCGCGGAGGTCCAGCACCCGAGCTGAATTCGGGGAGGCCCCAGATCCGCACTCGTGCCCACGTGACGCTGCAGGGAGGGCCACACACCCAGCCTCATGACGGGGCGCGGTCAGAACACAGTCACGCGCTTCGCACACACTGATCGAAGTAACTGCGTGTGTGGTGGGCGCAGAGTGTCAGCGAGTCTCGTGTTTAGACCTGGGCCCTCCCAAGACGCCTCCGTGTGTCTGTGAGAACGTTCCAGCATCCGAGCACTTGGATGCGGGGTTCCCCACCTGCGCCGGCCCCACGCAGCGCAGGCAGCGGCTCCCACCGCGTGGCCGGGATGGGGGGGCGCCCGCCCCCGACCTTACCCCGCGTCTGACCCTGGTCCGCGTCTCCCGTGCAGGTTCCAGATCGCGTCGTCCCTGTCTAAAGAGCTCTGCGCCCTGGTCTTCGGGGTGAACACGTTCTTCGCCACCATTCTCAAAACCGTCATCACCCTCATCGTTGCAGACAAGCGGGGCCTGGGCCTGGTGGTCCACGCCCAGGTGAGCGACTTTGGGGTCTGTGTCCTGGGGAGAGGGGAGCCGAGAGTGGGGTCCCCGCCGAGGCCTCCTGGTGCCCACCTGGTGCGGGGGCCAGCGTGGGCCGGAGGTGCAGAGGGCAGGCCCGGGCACCCACAGGAGGACGTGCCGGGCCGGGTGTGGCAGAGTGGTGGGTACCAGGTCACACGGTGGGGGTGACCTAGCCCCCTCTCCACTCTGCACTGGGGGGTGCAGGTCTGGTGGCCCGAGCCCAGGTTAGGGGGTTAGGGGACAGGCCTTGTTCCTCCGGTGGGGAGGACCAGGTGGGCTGCTCAGTTGCCGCGTGGGGCCCCTGTCCCACCCGTCGTCCTTTCCCGCCCTTTTTGGTGCTTCTGGGAAGAGCTTGAGGCTCCCGTGGTTGGAGACACTCCCCGCTTAGCTCCAGGTCCCACCCAGGCGGGATCTGTCTGAGCACATGGGTAGCCGGGTGGTGGGCGCAGCGGGCTCCTCGGTGGCTGCCCTGCCCCAGGCTGTGGCCGGACCAATGCCTTGGCCGGCGAGATGAGGACTTTGTCCACTGGGAGCCCGGGTTTCGCCGGCAAGAGGCTTGTCAGGGCTTGTCCTCTGAGGGTGCCCAGCAGGTGGCTCCGAAGTCCAGCGTCAAGTCAGCCTGGCCGGGAAGGAGGCGGGGGGCAGGGAGGGGCATCCCAGCTACTCTGCATGGACTGTCCCCAAGGAAACTTCCCTGCGGGGTTTGGAAGTGCCCTTCGCTGAGGGCAGCAGGGTCCCGCTGTTCTTGGCGTGCAGGGACTGGCAGCGGCAGGCTCGTGGGGGCTCTGCACGTGCGGCGTGGCGGGCTGCGCAGGGCCTGCTGGCTGGGCGGGCCTGGCTGGGTCCTGCACCCAGACGGCAGCTGCCGGTGTGTCTGGGCGGGAGGGACCTGTCCCGGAGACTCCAGAGGCCCAGTGGCCTCTGACCTGCGGGTCTAACCCTAGCATACGCCCTTAGCCCCTCTCCCACCCTCACCCTGGAGTCTCCGGGCTGCGCAGTCTTCCCACAGGGCTGGCCCAAGCTCCTTCCCTCCCCGCTGGCCGTGGCCCCAGGCGCTGCCCCGAGGGGCCGTGGGGAGGCCCAGGCCCAGGCAGGTGCTGGCTGCGGTTCCTGGCCGCCTCACGTCAAGCTGGCAAACACAGTCGACTCCTCTCTGGCAGATTTTGTTTGTGGGTCAGAAGGTGACTCCCGTGGGGCGTCGCGTCCACGGCCAGGAGAACTGGCGGGTCCGGGGGAGGGGGCAGCGCCCGCCCCACTGCCGCGTTCTGGGCGTCCCCATCTTGTGCCATCCCGAGCGGGAGAACAGCGGGGACAGGGGACAGGGCTTCCAGCTCAGCAAGGGCAAAGCCAGGGACTGTGGGGGCCGAGAGGGGACAGGAGGCCGGCAGGTTTGGAGCGTTCCCGGGTTTGTTTTGTGAATTGAACTTTATCTTGGGGCAAGTTTGACTTCACATGCACATGCCGTTTAAGAAATGAGACAGAGGTTCGAGTACCCGTGCCCAGTTTTCCTGATGGTCACACGTTACGGGTTTGTAGGGCGTCACCAGCAGCACGTTGGCGTACAGTCAAGTTCCAGAACATTCCGTCCCCGCAGGACCCCCACCCCCACCCCCCATGCTGCCCTTTCCCAGCCCACCTTACTCCCAGCCCCACCCGTGAGCCCTGCAGCCACTGCGCGCTCCTTGCCCAGCTCCTTGCCCAGCGCCGTCTTTTACTGCCGGGCTGCTGCGGTGGCACCAGCCAGTCCCTCGGGCTGCGGGCGGCGTTCCAAGTGTGCATGTAGCGCCGCCTGCTGGCGCACGGCTGAAGGACGGTGGGGTGTCCCGACTGGGGATATCACAGCTGAGCTGCTGCAGACGCCCTCGCAGGTTTTTGTGGACGTGGGTCTGCATTTCTCCGGGGCCAACGCCCAGAGGTGCGGCTGCTGGGTCCCGTCGCGGCCCGCCGCGTGCCGTTTTCCAAAGCGTGGGTGCGCCATGTCACGTCCCCACCAGCCGCAGCGAGACCCTCCTGCTCCACGGCCCTCAGAGAGCCGTGCTGTCATCACTGTTTGCTTTCGTCCTGGTGGTTTCAGTTTGCGTTTCCCTGGTGGGTTCTGGGGTTGAACGTCCCCACCTGCTGGCCGGCCGTCTGTGTGCCCCCCGGGGGCATTTCCTCAGGCCTGGGCCCTCTGCAGGTCGGATTGCTCTCGCTGCTGGGCCTCGAGCAGTCTGTGCGTCTAGATATGAGTCCTTCATTGAATAAATATGGTTTGCAAACATGTTTTCAACCCTGTAGCTTGTTTCATCTTCCTAATTTCCATGAGTTCCCATTTAGCAAAAAAAAATCTTTTTATGGATCATATGTATGGTGTCAAGTCTGAGAACTCTGCCAGCCCTAAATTCAGGAGATTTCCCCCAGTTTCTTTCTAAAACGGGTTTTGTAATTTTACATTTAAGTCTGTGATCCATTTTGGGTTAATTTTTATGTGAGGTGTGAGGTTTAGGTCACTTTTTCTCGCTCGTGTGTCCATCCGTTCCAGTATCATTTGTAGAAAAGATTTACCTTGCCTCGGTTGAATTGCTTTTGCGCATTTGTCAAAAGTTGGGCATATTTATGTGAGTCTATTTCGGGGAATTTTTCCTGCCCCATTGAGCTGTGAGCCTACCCTTTTAACGACACCCCCACATTGTCTTGGTTATGAAGCTGTAGGTTTTGAAATTGGCTAGACTGATTCCTCCAACTTTTTTCTTTTTATTCAAAATTGTTTCCACTATTATGGTTTCTTTGCCTTTTTGTGTACATTTTAGAGTAATCTTGTCTATATGTTCAGAAATTCTTGCTCCAATTTTGTTAGGAGTTGCACTAAGCCGGTCTATCAATTTCAAAGGAATTGACGTCTTTACTGTGTTGAGTTTTCCCGTCCATGAAAATGGTATATCTCTCCATTTACTTAGGTCTGCTTTGATTTCTTTCATCATGTTGTAGTTTTTCCACATACAAGTGCTGGGCCTGTTTTATTTTATACTTTATTTCTTTTTTGAGCAATTATAAATGAAACAATGTTTTGATTTTTAGTGCCTGCATTAGTCTGCTTGGGCTGCCATAACAAAATACCACAGATTAGGTGGCTTAAACAGTGGGAGTCTATTCTCACTATTCTGGAGGCTGGACATCCACGGTTAAGGTGTCCCGAGGCGTTTTCTCCATGTCTTAGCGTGGCGTTTTCTCTGTGTGGTCCTCCCTGGTATCTCTCTCTCTTATAAAGACACCAGTCAGATTGGAGTAGGATCTCACCCTTATGACCTACTTTAACCTCTTCAAAGGCCCCATCTCCAAAGGCAGTGACATTGGGGGTTAGGGCTTCAAGATAAGAATTTTTGGGGGTACAGAATTTAGTCCATAACAGTGTGCATGTATTCACTGCTAGTGTGTAGAAGTGCAGTTGATGTGCGTGTGTTTATCTTGTATCCTGCAACTTTGCAGACCTTGCTTATTAGTTCTAGGAGGTTTTCTGGTGGTTGTGTTTGCTTTTTAGATTCCTTGAGATTTTCTGTGAAGATAATCATGCCATTTGTAAATAGGGACCATTTAATTTCTTCCTTTCTGATCTGTGTATTTTTATTTCCTTTTCTTGCCTTATTGCACTGGCTGTAACTTTACTCTTTTCTCCCTTCTGCTTGCTTTGGGTTGATTTTGCTTTTCTTTTTCTAGGTTCTTGAGGTAAGTAAGACATTACTGATTTGAGACTTTTCCTCTTTTCTAATGTATGCTTGTAGCGCTATAAATTTTCCTCCTCTGTACTGCCTTAGCTGTATCTCATAAATTTTTATATGCTGTATTTTCGTTTTCATTCATTTTAATGCATTCTTTTACTGCGTCATCATTTCAAAGTGTGTGGTGTGGTTTCCAAGTGTTTTGAGATTTTCCTGTTACCTTTCTGTCATTAATTTCCTTTTTTGATTCTTTTGTGATCAGAAAACTCATTCTATATGATTTCAATCCTTTTAAATTTGTTGGGGTTTGTTTTGTGGCCCAGAATACCGTCTGTTTTGCCAAATGCTGTAGAACTTGGGAAGAATGTGTGTTCTTTTGTCGGGTGGGGTTTTCCATAAGCGCTGATCAGATCCTGTTGACTGAGGGTGTTCTTGATTTCCCCTTCATTCTTGTGGATTTTCCCTCTGGTTACATCATTATGGAGAGGGAAGCATTGACATCTCCAAGTATGATTACGGATCTGTTTCTCTTTTCGGCTTTATCATGTTTTTGCTTCACGCACATGCAGCTCTTTTGTTTGTTGCCTGCACATCTGGGATTGGTGCCTGCCTTGGTGATTGGCCCTGTTGTCGTCGTGTCGTTTCCCTCTCTGTCTCTGGTCGCTTTCTTTGCTCCGACATTTGCCTTCCACATTATCAATACAGCCACTCCCGCTTTCCTTTGATTATTGTTTGCATGATGAAGCCTTTTGCATCCTTTTACTTTCATCCTTCCCGTCCTGTTATATTTGAAGTGAGTTTCTTGTAAGCGGCAGAGCAGGTAGCAGAGTCATGGCTTTTAGTCTGCCAACCTCTGTCTTGTAGTTGGCACATTTACGCTATTTGTGCTTAATGTAATGATTTACGTATTAGAGCTTAAGTCTGCCATTTCATATTGTGTTTTTCGTTTACTCTCTGTTTTTAGTCCTTGGTTTCTTTTTTTGCGCCTTCCAGTTGGTTACTTGCACGTTCTGTGTTATTTTGTTTGGGTTTGTCTGTTGCGTTTCGAGTGTACTTCCTAGGGTGACTCTTGGTGGCTGCTTTGTGTGTCCTGTTACCCGTGTGGGAAAAGTGCCTTTGTCAGTACAATTGTCTTAGATATTTTCTCTGCATACTTTGAGTGCCACATAAAGGTAGTGTGGTCGTTTTTGCATTAGTCAGCAAACATAATTTAGAAAACTCCAGGAGGAAATATTTTACTTACCTGTAACTTTGTCTACTGTGTTCTTCCTTCTTTCTTTGTTTCAAGATTCTTCTGTAATGTCTTTTGTTAGAGCACGTCTTTTTGCCATTATTTTAGGTAAGTTTGCTGGTGACAATTCTTCTCTTAATTTTTCTTCACCTACGGATGCCTTGATTTCCCTTTGATTCCCGAAGGGTATTTCCCTGGAGGTGGGGGACCCGGCTGGGTGGCGTTTTTCCTTTCAGCTTGTGGAAATGCGATGCCACTTTCTCCTGGCCCTCAGGTTTCTGATGGGAAATCCACTGTCATCCAAACCATTCTCCACGTAAGGTATCATTTTTCTCTGGTCACCACTTGCAAGGTTTTCCCTTTATTTTTATGTTTTGCTTCTAGAAGTTTGAATATGGTGTGTGTTGGTGTGGTTTTGTTTGGGCCCACCCGCCTTTCTCTTCAACCCCACCCCCCTTTCTCTTCCCTTTCTGGAACTCCCGAGGCACAAATGTTCCATCTTGTCTTACACGGTCCCTGGGGGGCTAAGGCTCTGTGCGAGGTTTTGTTTTTTTTTCTTTCTCCAGTCTGTTTTTTGTTGTTCAGATTGAGCAGTTTCTATTGTTCCATCTCCAGTTCACTGATTCATTTCTCTGTCTCTCCCCTTTTGTTGTTGAGACTATTCGTTGAGTTTACTTCGGTTATTGTACCTTTCAGTTATAAATGTTATTATTTCTCCTATTTCTTTGCTGAGACCAATTGTTTTCATTTGCCTCCAGCATGTTTGCTATTGCTCACTGACTGAAGCACGTTTATGGTGGCTGCTTTAAGTCTTTCCCACGTAATTCCAATATCTCTGTCTTGGTGTTGGTGTCTGTCCGTTGTCTTTCATCCAGTTTGAGATCTTTGCGGTTTCTAAGTGTGGCGAGTGATTTTTGATTGAAACGCAGGCGTTTTGGGTATGATGCTACAAGACCGGGTCTTACGTGAACCTGTCTGGCTGTTTTTCCTGGCACAGCTGCGGCAGGGAAGGGGCTCGTGTGTCTGGCTACAGCCAGGTGGGTGGAGGTCCAGGCCCCCCACTCAGCCCGGGTGACGCCTGACGGTGGGTGGGGTGAAAGTCCAGACTCCCCACTTGGTGCCCGCTGTCTGATAGCAGCCACCACGGGCACTTGGGGGCGGGGTCTGGCTGCCGTGCCCCTTGCTGGCGTGGGCGGGTGGGGTCCGGGCCTGTCTGTGGTGTGGGGCTGGGGAGTGATTCCCCGCCTGCTGGGCTGCCCCTTCCGGAACCCTGGCCGGGGACAGCGGCGTGTGCTGGGCCTGTCGGCATTTCCAGCGTGCTGGCTTCTTGAGTTCCGAAATTACAGGGCAGAGAGAACCAGCCTGGGGAGCAGCACTGGGTCGGGTGCTTCCTGGGCCGGGTCCTCGTGCTTCTCTGCACCTTCCAGGACCTTCCGTGTTTCTTCCGCAGTGTCACAGGATTTCAGTTGTGCGTCCTGGAGGCGACGTCCTCGCAGGTTCATTTCCCGTTTGCTTTAAAAACGAGCTTTCCTGGACGGGCGCCGGGGGGGCGGGCCTCAGGGAGACCGGCCGGGGTCTCGCGCAGGACTCACGCGGGGCTCTGCCCACAGGAGCCCCCAGACCCCCGGCCTCCTGGACCCTCTGGTACGGGGTGGGGGGTGGCGCGGCCCCGCCTGGGTGCAGGGGAGGAATCTGTCCCTCCTCCAGGCGGGACTGGCTCAGCCCGCAGGGGCCGCGCAGGTCTCCGTGGTGGGCGCAGGGCCTGGGGAGGCGCTCTCTTCGCTTGGCTCCGCTAGTGGAACTTTCCGGCACTCCGGCTTGTCCTCGTGCTGTCCGGGCCGCCATGAGGACACAGCCCCACGAGAAACGGCCTTGGGAACAGACCCTGGAGGCCAGGCGGGGGCAGGACGTGGGGGGGCTCTAGGGCCTCTTGGAAAAGTGTCAGGAGCCCCACGGCAGGGCTGTGCCAGGCATGGCCGGAAGGCGGGCGGGCGCCTGGGGCCTCCTAGGCAGCCTCCCGCCTGGAGGAGGAGACCCCGGGTGGGGGGCGGGCGTCTCGGGCCGGGCCGAGGCCTCACCGGGCCCCTGTGTTCCAGTTCCAGGTCTACTTCGTGTACTTCCTGGTCCTCTCCGGCCTCTACCTCCTGTGGGCCATGCTCGACGGCCTGTGGCACTTCCGGCGGGGCCACCAGCCGCTGCCCCTGGCCCAGGAGCTGAGGAGCCCCCTGGAGGAGAAGGCCGCGCAGGGCCCCAGCCTGCAGGACGGCTGCCTCGGTGGCCCGCCACCGCACCCGCACCCGGAGGACAGCGCCTGGGCCTCTGCGCCCACCTCGCAGGGGCAGAGCCCACCGCCCCTGCCCACCCGCCCTACCTGCCCCCCGCGCGCGGGCCGGCTCCTGACGCCGCGGGGAGCCTTCCTGTCTGCGCGCACCCCGACCAAGCCTGGGGCTCTGACCTCCCCACGCGTGGTCCTGGCGTGGACCCGTGACTCTGGGCCCCGGTGCCTTTGCTTGTGACCCTCCACATGCCCCACACAGTGCCCCGAGGGCCGCCTGCCTTAGTGAGGGTCCCTGGCTTCGGCTGCACGGCTGGTGGCACCGAGAGCCCCCTCCCAGCCCTGCCGTCACACCTGGCATTGGTGCCTGGCTGGGGACCCAGCCGGGCGGCTGCCACGCTGGCCTGGAAGAGGCCCTTTGGCCTTTTGGGTCCCCGGTGTCCCAACCCGGGGGCCCCCGGTCCCCCCGCCCTTTTTTCACCCCCCCGGGGGGGGAAAAGGGCACCGGGAAGGAAAAAAGTCCCCCAACGTGTCCCCCCGGGGGGCCTGGGGGCTGGCGAGGTGGGGCCCTTTTGGGGAAAAATTTTTGCCAAAAAAGCCCCGGGAGGGGAACCCAACGGGGGCCCCCCCACCCAGCCCAAAACGTCCCCCGGGAAACCCCCTTTCAAGGGCAGGGCCCCCCTTGAGAGCCCTCCATTCCCCCCCGGGCCCATAGCCCTTTTAAAATGGAGGGGGGAAAACGTTTTTTTCCCTTTTAAGTTTTCTTTTTTTCTTTAAAGGTTGGCCTTTTTCCCGGGTTGTTTGGAGCCCCCCAGGTTTTTCTTGGAATTTTTTTTTTTTTTTTTTTTTTTCCCATTTTTTTAACGTTGGAAAAACAAAGGAACCCTGTAATTTGGCTTTTTCTTTTTTTCTTGTTTTTTTTTCCCCCCACGGGGGGGAAGAAAGCCGCCAATCCCGTTCCAGGTTGCAGACAGAACCGATTCCCGCCCGTGGGCCCCTTGGGTTTCCCCCACCCCCCCCCCTTTGGGAAAAAGCCGGCCCCACCCCTTCCTTTCCCCAAACCTTGCCGAGGCTTTTTTTTTTTTTTCCCAAGCCCCAGGGCCCCTTTCCCCCTGCCTTTGGAAAAAACCTTTTGGGGGTCCCCAACCCCTTGGCCTGCGTTCCCCCACGGAAGAAGCCCGGTCCCCCCCAAAAAACACCTCCAAATGCCAGCCAAAAGGAGGGAACAAAAACCTTGGTTGCCCCCTTTATGGGTGGGGGAGTTTTTTCCGTGGGACACGCCGTTTTTTGCCCCTTAATTTTTTTTTTGCTGTTTGCTCCCCAGGGGGCCGGGGTGGCCCTTCTTCCTTTTGGGCCCCAGCAACTTGGGGGGAGGAACCCGTCCCCCCCGGCGCCCACCTTTCCAGGGGGCCCCCAGGGGGCCCCCCCCATTTTCCAGTTGGT